TGCATTGTAAATTTTGGTCAATGACATGAGACAAAGTGTATTATGTGAACTGCTGTATGAAAAGTGAATTTATGCTGTAAATCTTCACCCAAATCAAAATAAAATTTAAACAAAACAAAACAAAAAAAAAAAGAAAGAAAGAAATGCTGCCAGGGTGCTCTTTGGAAGCGAGAACGGCCAGACTTCATCTCACCTACTTGGGTCATGTTGTCAGAAGGGACCATTCCTTGGAGAAGAATATCATGCTTGCTAAAGGAGATGGTCAATAAAAAAGGGAAAGACCCTCATTGAGATGGATTGACATAGTGGACGCAGCGAGGGGCTCAGGCATAACAACAGATTGTGACGATGGCGCAGGACTGGGCAGTGTTTCATTCTGTGGTCCATGGGGTTGCTCTGAGTTGGAGCTGACTCGACAGCACCTAACAGCAACAACAACAGTATCATGGTTGTATATTCAATAAGCTGGTAAGATACTCTTATGGTTTAAAATACTTACACTTGAGGAAAATAAGAGTTGTCCCAAGAGCTTTAAGTTCTATTAGGGTATTTTTTAATTCAAAATTTAAAATGTAAGATACAGATGATTTTAACTAAGTGAATGATTAATCAGTATAACATATCTGATACATTTTTTAAGGTTGAAGTAATTTTCTCTCTTCCATCCAGTATCTCTCTCTCTTCTCTGATTTAGATAAATAACAAATGATTTATAACTTCCAATTTCCTAACCATTAGCACTCATGTCCTTACGGTTTGCAAACAAACAGACCATTGCTATGAAGTTGATTTCAACTCATTGTGACCCCGCGTGCGACAGAGTAACTGCTCTGTAGGATTTTTGTGGCTTTAATCTTTGTGGAAGGAGATCACCAGGGCTTTCTTCTGCGGCACTGCTAGATTGGTTTGAACTACCATCCTTTAAGTTACTTGTTGAGTATAAACTCTGTGTTCCACCCAGAGATAATTACTGCTCATAGGATTCTCAAAATATGTTTTGCAGAACATCCTAAATAAAACATGAGATGGATCATTTTACAGCTTACCTAATTCACTATACCATTCCCCAAATTAATTTCTTTCTGCCATTGTGGGACAAGGACAAGAAAAAGAAGGACATCCTGTTTATCACTTTTTAGGACTGAGAGATGCAACTTTATTCTTCTGAAATAACCCTTAATTAGGCCAAATAAATTAATAATGATACATCTGCTTTGATTTGATTTCTTCTTTTTTTTTTTTTTTTTTCAATTATAAATGCCAGAATTCAGTCCAAGAAGAAAAGTACCTGATTATTTTTTAGGCTAAGAGGTGACCTGGCCTTGCTTCTCAAAATTGCAAGTGAAGTTGTATGTTGCATCAGAAACATAGCTGTACCTTGCAAGAACCATCATTATTAGAAATCACTCTGGCCATCATTTTATTATTGTATGTTTAAGAATTTCGCTCTCGACTATCCTCATCTGCATTAATTCCCCCAGCTTAACCCCTCATTGCTTTTAATGTGATTCATTAGAATTTAAGTAGGAAGTCTTTTCTTTTTCTGCTTGGCTTTAATATCCAGAGTTATTAATAACCAGAGAATTTTATTGACTTATGAATATATCTTAACTTTTTATTAACATCCTCAGAATTATGTGCCTTTTGAAGATCATAAGCAGAAATGGATAAGGTATCCCACCATAACTATTTTTTAGGTCAGTGAACATCACATGGTAGAATCCTTTATAACTAGTAAAAGTCATGTTAGGAAAAAGTATTTGTTGATAAGGAAAAACGTTAAGAATATATGGTTAAGAAAATAAGCCTGGTACTATATACAGTATGGTTCTTTCTGTTAACATACATTAACATAGAATAGTCAGGGAACCAAGGCTAGAAGGATGTGCCTCAGAACTTTAGTTAACAGTGGCCCTCAGGGATGGAATGGTGGTTGATTAAGGGTGCCGATGCTGATTTCTATTTCCTGAGCATTCTCATCTGAGCATGAAGTACTTATAGGTAAAAATGTTTTAAAATTTGTAATGTTTTAAGAAATTATTTCATTGATAAAATATTTTTCATTTAAAGCAAATAAATAGTTGGCGTGTCCTTTAAGTTCATTTGATGAGCAATTGAAATTTCACTGCAATATGAAATAGGCCATTGAGGAAAGTAAAGATGTAATTAAGCAGTTTTCTAAAGTTAGTCATTTTAACTTTTTATTCATTAAACTAATTTCTTTCACTATATGCTCCTTAGGGGAGCTCTAGTAGGATAGTGCCTAAGGCATTTGACCACTAACCAGAAGGCAGGCGGTTCAAACCCACGAGCCACTCCTCAGAAAGAAGATGGGGCAATCTACTTCCGTAAGGACTGCCTTGGAAACCCAAGGGAGGGGTCGCTATGAGTCAGGTCCGACTCAACGGCATATAACAACAACACCACCTGCTCCTTGCTAGAAAACAAACATAAGTTTTTTAACTTTAATATAATTTTTCAGAGTGGGTGTGACTCAACAGCACATAACAATAACAACAACAACCTAAAATATAGTATTAACTTAAAAGTTATACTAAAACTTACGTAAGTTCCTGTATTACTTAAGTTTCTTACATAAGTTCTCAGAAACTAACTTATATAAGTATAAATTCAGCAACAGACAAAAAGAAAATACTTTTGGTAGTTATTTCTATCTGGTACAGCTACTTAATCCTCAGGGTGAGATAGGTTTGACTTTCAGTAGTCTAAAAAACAGTTATTTCATCATAGTACTGAATTTTTAGCAGTAAAACTTGTTTAGTATGGAATATAAAGTATTCTCTGATCCTAGATGTAAAATGTTATATTTACTAAATAATTGCATTGTGTTATATCACAGAATTATTGAAGAACTTAAACTTAAGGGTT